CTTTAGAGGAGGCAAGTTGGTTTACCAGGCTACTCCAAACATTTTAACAAATCTCGCACTCCTTCGTTCTTTCGCGTTTACCTGGAGAACAGGTGGTTAAACGTTTCATCGAGGAACTCATAATTGCTGATCGCATTCCTGGGGTCGTCCGAGATTGAGAGGCTAATTTAACCTTCGTCACCCCACCTCACTCTCCATCTTCCCCACTCTCCCTACCAAGTGAGGCCACGAAGGTAGGCTTGTAAATCAAAATAAGATGCGTCTAAAAAAAAATAATTTTAAGCATCAGTGTAAAGGTTGCCTCTGTTCCCTTTTTTTTATAAGCCGTAAGTTCTCTCAGACATCAAAGACGCCCCACTTGGTGGCGTTCGCCATAAAAAGGGTCTATAGTGCAGTGGGCAATCGTTGCAGGTGATACCAAAGTTTCGCTGTCTAACCACCTTCACAGCGTGGATTGGAGCCTTCAACTTTTTTTTTAATATCTCCGGTGGCCAAGAACTTGCCAGTGGCCAAGCTATCCGGACATTGGCCAACCTCTGACCGATCGAAGCTCACGTTTTAGTGCCGCTTGGCATTTTCCCAGATTTCAATGTGTTTCCAATTGCTCGATCACGGTCACGTGGTTTATTTATCGGCGTTTGGAATACGAGCTCTGACGACAAATCGTTTAAAATTCGCGAACATCTCTGCTTAATCGACCGCTTTCGTCCTCGCCACTCAAGAACCGAACCTATGCACGCTTACGACAAACTTGCCCAGGAGGCGTCCTTAAAGTGCAAAGTCGCTCCATCGTTTGCTTTTCTCCCTCTTAAGGGCTCTCCACATCACAACAATCGCAGCGTTGTGCCGTAGGCGTGTGCTGGGCTCAGGAATCTTCAAGGTCGTACGCGACCGACGCGCCGTGGAGCGTGACCTCGCACGAGTGTCTCACGCGGCGACGGTCCAGATGAGATCGCGGATTTCCATGCCGCCGATCGATCCGGTCATTAAGATTCGAGTCGCACGCACACACATGCACGCACGTGAAAGGTTGTTCCTCCCCTGCGCCCGCCGTGTCCCGAGGGAGGCATCCTTCTTACATGGACGACGGAACTCTTCAAACGCGCCTCGTTGTTTCAAAAGTGGGCTCCGCCTTTGGGGAGTTGTAACCCGGTGGGCACTTCCTGGTTTATTTTGCTACTATCATTCTGTGTGGCATCAAAACTCACAGGGTCCGGGTGTGGCCCAACCGTTGATATGCATTTAAAACGTGGAGAGGCGAATTTTAGATGATGCATAGCTTGTCTTAAAAAGAAGTCATGGTTTAAAGTGGCGGGGACCCTGCTACACCCTTATAAACGAGGAAAGAAAGGCATATTCCCCTGGGAATATTATTAAAATTCACGATATTTTTAAGAGAGACAATGTAGTTAAGAAACGGGCCAAGAATACTAGTTTCCAGCGTTGTTATCACATTTGTTCTGCGTACGTTAAGGAATTGAACAAATACAAGATTGCAGTAATTCACTAAAATTTCCCCTGCGTGAACGAGTGAGGCACTGCCGCTTTCCGCATATATAAGTACCACGGTCTAGTGAAGCACCAGCTTCGATTATGTGTTTTTTTTTATAAATATATCTTTATCTTTAAGCTTTTTTCGTTAGAACTATGCAATAATCTCAACACTACTTTTGCGAGTACCTGCATTTTATTAGTGCACATAAAAGTGCAAGCGTAAATATGAAACGAATGTTTTTTTTTTCTAGACTGTTCGACAGCTAATTGGTTATTAATGAAGTAAATCAAAAACGGTGTGCTCCGTAAGACCAAAAGAATTGTGCTCCCGTAGTAAACCTTCCCCCTAGTACTAGTATGCTCCCTACTTGTGCTTGATTGCAAGTTTAGCTTTATTGAAACAGATAGCTTTGCGTGTTAAATAAATTCCGCTCTCAATTGTAAAACGACATACTAAACTGCGTTGTTTCAACAGTGAGGGCCTTTAGAATCTTTATAAAGCAGAACCGATAGTTGTCCTGAGTTTTTCGAAAAATTATATTTTATTGACAGAGACTGAAACGCGGAATTAATATGCTACATTTTCTTCGTCCGCCGCATTAATTGTTTACTGAGAATGGCGAAAGTTTTTCACTGTTCTGTCGTAACTGTTCCAGGTCGTACGGCGACAAAACATTTGCAGCCAAACACAGGACAAATGAAGTAATGTTGACTGCCGACAAATATTGCAGAACGCGGACTATTAGTCCAGTTCCTCTATTTATCTACGTAATAATCTGCATTTTCTTGCCTTTTTCTTTTCGCATATGATTTGTTGGGTTTGGTAACAAGAGCAAACGACAAACCGTATCAGGTCGTTATCAAAACCAGAGAGCCCAGTTATATATATATAAATATGAATGTATGTAAAAGAAACATAATGGACAGAAAATATGTTATGGAATACTTGAATGATGTAAGCCAAGAAGGAAGTTTTCCCCATTATAAAATAATCGAAACTGCGCATAACAAACAGCCATTGCAAAACACAAAACTGATGAGATATTTTGAAGAAGCTTAAACCGAAAGCACAGTGTATGTTGGACCAGTGCACGACTGAACAAATTAGTGTTTATCTACGATTATTCGTAGTATTAATATTTAAAAAAAATTAAATGTTATAACATACTGTTCGTTTTATTTGTCACAAGGACGGGATCAAGTGTGGCAGCTGGAACATAGATTGAAGCTTCGCCTGAATATATCAAGAGTTATAAATAGGCCCCGTTAAAAAATAGTGACTTCTCCTCCATCATCAGGAAACCACGCAATCTGGTGGAACAGCCAACACTGCGACACATGCACTGCTATAAAAACGCATACGGGAAGACTGTAAAATGTACAATCTTGTCACTGCAATGGCGTTTTCATTTTTTTCAGTCTCCCTTTTGTTTTGTGTCTAGTTCTAGGAAAAATGGGTTTATTGACTTGGGGTCATTATTTATCTAAATATTAAAATCAATATTTTAGTACATGGAACATTATTCGAGGCTAATGTAAAGTAGAATACCTATTAAAACCGAGCGTGAATGTAGGACAAAATAGATGTGATCATTCACTCACATTTCTAGGGTGGGTAAATTCAGCGCAGACAAAAACCTTTACCTTCAATATCGTGGGTTAGGAACCCGTTTCCACCAAGGCATCTGGGGCTCCACTTTTTCTGAAGTCACTGATTACAATTATTTAAGGGTGACCATTTTTAAAAAGCTTTTCTGGAATACCCATATCAATAATCTCTGGTTATTCGCATTTCGGAATCTTGGTTTTCTTAGTCGCAAGCTAATGAAAACATCATCAGTGTCAAACTTTTAGCTGACAGCACTTTTGTACGATAGAACCTCGAGCACGCCAGCCTTATATAAGAGTCATTCAATAAAAAGAAATATTTCAAAGCTAGGAATATCCAGACTTGTGCGGTCGGATTCATCTATGCAAAATTTGAAATGTGATATTCTTTGACTTGCTTTTTTTCTTTTGAGACAGCACTCTAGTTTGCGCGTCTAACTTTCATCTATTGTACGCTATCGTCCAGGTCACCCCTGCCCGCCCTGACTCAATGTGACCATGCGCCCCCTCTCAAGAAGCTACAACCGTCATCCCGCCGTCCTTGAAACTTGGCCCCGACCGTCAAGCTTCTTCACCCGGATAAGAACTGCCCTACGCTTCACTCTCACGAAAGCTCCAACCGTCACCCCGCCGAAATTTGGACTCGACCGTAGCATTGTATAAATACCACCCGCGTTCATCTGTACAAGTTAAGGGAGTGGCCGAGTGGGCTAACGCGTCTCAGCTCGGAGCGTGGAGCGAAAGCTTGCGCTGGGAACCTCCTGGGTTCGATCCCCGCCGCCCCCGCCCGTTTCGATCTGGATGAGTTTTGTACCGGCGCGCGTTCGTGTGATCACTACTGCGTGATGCACGTTAAAAATCCCAGGTTAGCGCTTGTACCGCACTGGCTAAATTTCTCATCTTTGGCTAAGAGACCGATTACCCGTTGAGGCGCATCTCCATCAAGGCTGTATAAACATAAAGAGCAAGCCAATTTTTTTTTTCTGTAAAAGTTTTTTTTGACGAAGTCCGGACTCCCGCCTTCGTCAGGAAGAACTGACGTTTTCACTAAGGTTTCTTTTCTTATATATATATATATATATATATAACTCGGCATTTGCTTTTCACGCTATCGCAAACAAACTGGCAGACAATTAAATCAATGCCAACGCCACGTGTTATGCGGCGAAGCGACACTGCACAAACACTCCCGAGCTATCAAAACGCAACCTCATAATCTAGCGTAGCTTTTTCATTTTGTAGCAACCTAGAAAAATAAAACCCAATTTAGAGTTTACACACCACGTCTAAAGCTCCTGAGAGCTTAAATAAAATATAGAAAACGGTGAGCTGGGAGCACTTCGTTTTCGTGCCACAGCCATTGAGAGCGCAATCTGAGCGGAGAAGAACATCGAGAAACAAAACGGAAAGTGACAGACGTGAACTTAATGAGCGTCCGTCTGCGTCTTTCTATAAAGCACTAAACTAAACAACCAGACAAAAAACTTTTTTAACAAGGTTTGGATACGACTAGCATGTTCTAAAACGAAGTTTGGACGAAAAAATCTTTTTTAACGTAATATATACATCCATTAAAACATTCATTTTTGTGTCGAGTGATTTTGTTTTTTCTGTTGCCTCGACCCAAAATAATAGAACAATGTATTTTTTTTTTTAAGTTTTTGAGTTTCAGGCGCATATTAACCCCCCCCCCCTCCCCCCTTCTCCCAAATAGACCCAAAGAGAGACACTAAACGAGGCACGTCACGACACTCGAAATAAGACTTTTTTTTTTTAGAATGTTTTTTCTTTGTGTGTTTTATCCAGGCAGTTAAGAAATGAACTCTTTTTTAGTCCGCTGTTTTTTTAAGCAGTAGTCACGAATACTTTTTAATAATAACACGAGAAGAGCCACTTACCAACTCCGACGGCGACACAAGCCCAAAGTACCATCCAAATCGCGGTGCTCCGAGACAACGCGGGCCGAGCCGACCCGTTGGCCCGGCCCGCGGGTCGCATTCCGAGCTTCAAAACCAGCGCACGATCCACGCACAGATCCGCGCACAAGACGACGCCTATAAATCCGGGCAACTCGAAATCCAAGGCGAGAGAAAAAAGGATCACGTCGATAAAAACAGCAGAGCCGTCCACATTCACTTCACTCCAATCTTGGCACAACGCGTCAAAGGGACGCAGACTCAGACCCCCAGAACGCGAGACATACTCCTGCCATGGAACAGACTCCAACTGCGGCCGGTGTGTGTCCAACGCGTATTCCCCGCGCGCAGAAATGCGCAGCCGTCCTGCGTCGCCGCGCCGGTGTAGTGGTGTCTGCTAGGATTCCGGCGCGCCGCCGCGAAGCGTTCGGCGGCACCACCACCGCCGACGCAAAGTGATCGCCGCGCCGCCGCCGACGTAATCTCTTTTTGGGCGGTGCTTTCAAATTGGATGGGAGTGTTTTTTGTTTTTCTTGTATTTTTAACGCAAGGTTTCTTTTAGGGGCAAAGCCCCTTAGGGTCTAGCCTTGTCCGGCGTCCGTGCACACATCGACTGCCATCCCCATCTCTCTTCATAAAAAAAAAAAAAAAAAAAAGTTCGCGCACTTGGCAGGATTCGAACCTGTGCGGAAAGACCCCGATGGATTTCTAGTCCATCGCCTTAACCACCCCGCCACGACTGCGGGGCGAGTAGAGGGCTCTGAGATGTGGTAGTAATTCAAGAGCTGGGGATGTCAACGATGAATAATTGCATGTAGCCGCTCAACGTCTCTACAGGAGAGGGCGCTGCGGTCAAATGCGTATATAATAGCGTTAAACGTCGCATGCATTGGCTCAACGTTTATAGACAAGAGAGCGCCGCGGTCAAATGCTCAAATGAGTATATAACCACGATCCATACTACACATTCACTCTCTGACATGGACCGTTGACTTAAGCGGTGGAGATGCGTTCCCACGGCTTCTCGCGGATCCAAGCTGATCCCCCAGAAGAACCATTGGCTCTGCATTTCACCGACCATAAAGCAGTAATAATGAAGTCGAAACGCAACCCGGAACTCAGCACTACCTATGAGCTATAAAAAAATAAGCACCATCAGCACTACCTATGAACAATAAAATCAGCGTCATCAGCACCACCAGAGCTTCGCCCCAATCAGCATCATTCACCACGTGGAGATGCGATCTTTTTTTTTTTTGGTTAAGGGTAATGTGGTAGAAGCTTAAGACGAAATATCATTGAATCTAGAACAGTATTGTGCTGTGACCGTGCGTCCTTAGGTTGTGTGCATGCATTTGTGTGCCTTCTAAGCTGATAGCGCTAAACATAATGTGAAACTACCAACATAACGTGAAACGAAGTATAGTGAAGCGGACTTCTATGCGTTCACAATCGTGAAATAAAATAGTGCATTTAAGACAACATATTTGCGTCTTTTAGCGTCTGCTTTTCCGGCACTTATTTTGAAGCGTAGTGTAGTGAAGAATTTCCGAGCTGATGAACGTCTTTTTCCGTTTAGTTTTATTATTACTTTAAAAAAATAAGCACTGCTCTTGTTTTGTTTTCACTTTTCGTGTGGCAGTCCTCCTACGTAACTTAACTTATCACACATTCAAGCCTCTTCTTTTCTTGACAGCTACGACAAAATCAAACGATGGACAACAAAAATAAATGGCTGAGAAAAAACGCACGACAAAATTGGTCGATTGGTTCACTTATTGAATTTAATATTTGATTGATGAATTCATTGAATAATTAGTTAATTTAATGATTCAGGAGCGATTTTTTACTCGTTTTCGTTCTGATGGATTAATTGATTGGACGATAAAGTGGTTGGTTAAATAATTATTTATAATGCAGTTTCAAGTAAATAATAAAAAAAGCGTTATTATTTTGCAGCTTATAGGACTTTATATGTTTATCTTCTCCTGGGGAACTGTGCAATAAAATAGACCGGCAAACTTTATTGAGAAAACGAAGACCAAGCAAAAAGGACGCAGGGGACATATTGTTTGCTTTGATTGCCACAGGTTTCAATTTTCTAGGAAGCCAGTATTTAACTTTGCAAAAAAATGTTCGGATTAATTTTGATTCGGAAGTACCAAAGCAATTCAATGAAGTAAACACCACGACACAAATACAAAGGCGATCAAAACAGTCTCGATTCCCCAGACAACACGATGAAGAAGCACCGCGGGTGTTTCTTCAGCGCGTTCTGAGTGCTTCTTCTGAGAGTTCTGAGTACGCGTTCTGGTCTAAGAGCAACTAACGACTCACTTACCAAGAGCTCACGCAGAAAATATATTTGCTCAGTAAAAGGTGCAAGAGATTCCCGTAAAAATGTGTATCTACTAAAATATAGACAAGAATACTTTTCTTCGTCATGCAGACTCACACATTATTCTAAGGAGAATCAAAGAACCGCTACAGATGTTTTTTCTCGTCTAATAAAAATTTCAGGCATATTTTAGATTATTTCCAAGCTATTGAGTTTCACAATTGGGATCGTGATTGAACTTAAAAATTTACGTTGAAATATTTGATTGGAAATTGCTTAAATGCCAATATATATCTCTGACGACTTACCTAAGCTGTAGCACTGATTGTAAAAGAAAAAAAAATATTCCATTCATAGAAAAACATGTATTAAGGCATATGCAGTTTCTATAGTTTCTTTGGTGGAACGCCATTGTTTATAGATGGGTTGATGTTCAGAATCTCAAGCCCACGTTGGTTACATAAATTTCGTGCATTTTAATCCTAGGTATTCGAAAACCCTAGAAACGGATCCAAGGTTTAATCAAAAATTTATCAACATAGTGCAAATTAAAAGGATTGACATTTGTGTGCAATCTTTTGGTAGCTTTACGCACGTCACCTTTTTTTCCCGCAGTCAACTTAACCTTTTTTTCGTTAATCTTCTGTTGACCTTCAATTCAGGACGACACCGGTGCGTTGACGTCTTTATCAGCTGAAAATTGTACTCTAGAAAGTTATCAATTTCAAAACACAAAAACAGGAAATAATTCGATAGAGCCAGGTGACAACTGTAGGGGAGATGGTTCAGCATCTGGAAACCACATTTTCGGATGGTAGCTTGTGATTGACGCGGCACGTAAACAAGCGCATCGTCATGTACAAAGAAACGTACCTGCTGGTAGAGTTCCTCTTGATTTCTTCTAGATTGACTTCCCAAAATAGCTTATTGTGCTGACGTTACTTTCTCCACTAATGATTGCCTTGTGTGCCATTATCTCCAAAAACTAGTTTTTCGAGAATCCCAGAAGACAGTTGCCATAACTTTGCCTGGTCATTTTTAAAGCGCAGCTCTTTCAGGCTTCAGCGGCGTCGCCATCGCCGTCGCCGTCGGCGTGGGCGTAACCGTGAGGTCACGTGACGCCCGTGACTTCAGGGGGGTCACGTGACCTCAGAGGGGTCACGTGACCTCAGGGAGGGTCACGTAACCTTACGGGGGCCACGTGGCTCCCGTGGCGGAGTAGCAGGCAGGATGACGAGGTGAGGAGGAGGGAGGAGGTGTATACCCTCCCCTCAATACCCTTCCATCCTCCTCCTCCAGAGCTGCGCTCCGATTCGGCGTTAGAGGGAGTTGTAAACGGCTTTCATTTTTTTCTATCAAACATTTTTGTTTTGGAAGAATAAGGCTGGCGTCTCCACTGGCTTCATTTTATAACCAAAAACTCTCTGATAGTCCCCAACCTAATCTCCAGTCACCAAACATTTAAATTTATTTACATAATCTTTGTGGATTACCTCCAAGTTCTCCTTGTAGTACTGGAGTCTCGATGCCTCCTCACGTGGCATTTTCATTTCTGGAATCTATTGTGCACTACCCTTTCACATGCCCAACATTTCATGTACCATTTTTCATAGCTGAAGTAGCCTGGGTGCTCATTTGTTTGGCTATTCTGCAAACTTCAATTCTTCTGTCTGACCCAACTAAGTTCTCAGCTCCCTTGCACATTTATGTGGAAGTTGCTTCCACAAGTCATCTACAGAAAAGAAGGGGGGGGGGGGGGTCACCTTCAATGGACTTTTCACCTCACGTAAACTGCTCGCCCTGAAGTTTTACTTTGTGAGCTGCACTGCAGCTCACAAACTGCAGTAATGCGCGCATAGATTGTTGATATAAATCTAGCATTATTTTGTTTATTTCAGACGAGGCTCTCTTGACATTCCGTCTCTTGAAATGTTCGTCTCACACTGGCCCGCAACTGTGCAGGCATAACCTTGAGGCATGTCATAACATGTCCAGACGTTTCCAAAACGCGTGTTAAAAAATATGGCAGATTTCCAGGCAATCGTGTTTCAGACGCGAAGCGTTCTTGCATCAAAAATGTTTAGTTATACTCCGAGTTTCCAGATGGCAGACGCCTACGTTCAAGGCGCTCTTCATCAGATAGTTTTACGAGTTCCATGTGTGCACTCGACAGTTGTTTCTAAAATGAAGCGATACTACCGCTAATCGGCTGATACACCTGGTGATCCTCCAGAGCCTTCCATACTCGTAAGCTTCTCTCCCTCAGTGTGCACAGGTGCTTGAGCTCCTCCTCGCCTACCTCACTACTCCTGGGCTACCCTTTTGGTCACATGACTTCTCCATTGACCAATCAGCGTCGGGCACATCAATCCTCCTCTCTCACCCGCCAACCAATTAGTGTCGATCCTCGCGGACACGCTTTCATCCGGGCCTCTCGAAATGTTGAACACGTAGGCAAAGAATGTTTCATGTTAAAACGTGTGACTGGCTGTCGTCTCTAGTTACCGGAAAAAGAGCCGATGCCCCGCAGGCTTTTCTCACTAAGTAGCACCTCCACTAACGGCAATGTGTCGTGACATGCTGGAAAAACTCAATGAATAAACAAAATACGTGCTGGAAAGACGCTCGCTTAATAATCTATATCGTGGGGGTTCGATTCATGCTGGGCGAAAACGACATGTTTCTGGGATGGCCTCCTTTCCTCCACTCAGGGCCACACTTTTAACTGAGTTTCACTTTTTCTTGGCTTAATGACATTCCGAAGACCTAGCCAAAAAACATTTCCACGTTAAGAAAGACCTTGACAACACAAATCGTTTTAGCAAAGACCACAGCAATGTTAGTCTTTATAAGGCTTTAAAAACCGTACGGTGGTCTGGAGCTTATTTCCTCTGCAAAACACGGCCATTCATTACTCAAACAATCGCACGTATACAAAAAAAAAAAAGTACACGTCTATACTTCGTTTAAGATTTAATCCGACCGCAGCCAACACTACGATTCCATGGTGTCGA